GAGCAGCTGGTGAAGGAGATGTGTGGGACAGTGCAAGGAGCCAGGCCAGCAATCACGAGGGCCAGCTTTCAAGTGGTCAGTTATCGGCTGAGGTCTCTGGCAAGACATCAATCCTCTATGGGTTTCCCGACCTGCAAATGAAACTTTGGCCACAGCACACCTGAGCAGTACTTAGAAGTATGTGCCATGGAAATATCTGCATAGTGTGTCATATGCCACAGACAAAAAAGGAGTCCTGAATTTCCAAGGCCAAGTTAGTTTGATTCCAGTTCCAAACATGGGACTGTGGACACTTAGGGGTGATTCTCTTCATGTGAAACAAGCCAGACTCCTGCCTTGGGAAGGAAGAAATAGTTCTCCATCTTTCCTTTAGTGCAACACTGGAGTAATGGACCCAGGGGCACAGAAGGAAGCTCCCTGAGCTGCCTCTCAGACAAGACACGGGCTCTGCGCTCAGTCCCATTGTGTCCTTTTCTCAGGCAATTCACGTAGAGTCTGAGGCAGAGTATTAAAATTAGTAAAAAAATTTCAGACAAGCAGTCTAGTCTTAACTGGATAGGCATAGAGTACTTTTTAAATGAAAAAATGAAATTAAAAAGTCTGGAGATGTCTCAGGCAGACTAAATTGCTTGAATTGCATGAAAGTTTGCAAAACGTCCCCATGGTGTGTCTATATTACCAATATATGGTTTGTGGTTTGTTTGTTTGTTTGTTTGTTTGTTTGTTTTTAACAACCAATGTGTCATTTTGACACATTTGAATTACCTAATTTTTTTAATCAATTTACCTTCTGGAGTTGACCCAGAATCTCGGGGGAGCCTCATGAAAACTGTAACTTCAAGAAATGGGGTGAGCAGAAAGCAAGGAGGGGTTTCATGGCTGTTGGAGCTTTATTTATTTATTTATTTATTTATTTATTTTTTTATTTTTTTTTTTTGTTGGAGCTTTAAAATCCCTCTGCCTGGGATCCCTGGGTGGAGCAGCGGTTTAGCGCCTGCCTTTGGCCCAGGGCGTGATCCTGGAGACCCGAGATCGAATCCCACGTCGGGCTCCCGGTGCATGGAGCCTGCTTCTCCCTCTGCCTGTGTCTCTGCCTCTCTCTCTCTCTCTGTGTGTGTGTGTGTGTGTGTGTGTGTGTGTGACTATCATAAATTTAAAAAAAATTTTTTTTTAAATAATAAAATCCCTCTGCCCAATTTGCTCCCTAAGTCAGGATTTTCTCGCTCTTCCACATCCCTCAAAAGCTGCTCCATCACTATCTCCTTGAACAATCACATCACCTTCTACCATTTGGGTTATATTGAGCAGAGCTTCAGCTCACTCACTGTAACTTACATAGTTGGTGCTGTTTCTGGCTCTTGGGGCCACAACAATTCCAGTGAATTCTCTCTTCTACCTCATAGACCATTGGATATTTAGATGAACAGTGACACCCCTGTGTGTGCTGTCCTACTGGCTAACATCTCTAATTCTTTCAACCATCCCCCCACTAGTGTGAAGACAATACGGGGGAGATGCTGCTGTTGGGGGAGCCAGACCAAGGTAGCTTTGTATTCCGGCTTTCACAAGGTAGCTACATACCTAGGCCAAGTGACACGATCTTTCTGGGACACTACTGCTATTTTGTAACGTTGTGAAGAAGAGTAAATGAGAGCATGTGTGTAAAACATCTGGTATGGTGTCATGGTGTCTGCCTCACCGTGGGTGCTTTGTATGTGCCAAGGTTGTTACGGGACCAGGGAAAACTTGCTTGTGATCACCCCCCTTGAGGACGATTTTACATTAAAAAGGAATGGAGCTGAGATATTTAGAAGTGGAAAGAAAACAAAGGCTGATGTGACTTGGCTAAAGGGAGTTGGGCAGACAAGGCTTTGAGTCCAAAAGGAGAGAACACGCAGGTCACCAGGAGGCCAAAGAAGATTATAAGGTGAAGATGAAAATGCCTGCTTCACGGTGGCTGGCATCATGAGGAACAAATTACATGGTGTATGTGAATGTGTTTCGTAGAATAAATGCTCCCCTGTGCTCCTAGAACACTTGATACTTCACCTCATCACATGACAATAATTTGTCAAGATGTCTATTTCCCTCTGAAGATTGTAAAGGTATCATAGTGGGAAAATGTTGGGGTTTTTTTCTGCCCAGCTCCCTCTTTCACTGGGGGAGTGTGTCTGCCTCACTCCGAGTGGTTCACATGGGACAGTCAGTGTCAATACCCTGCCTGTGATGAGCTGTAGGGCTGAGTCCGTGATCAGTGTGCTCCAGTCCTTTGTCCAGAGAAATTGGTCCAAGGCACAGAGGGGCATGTGGCCCAGCCAGGGCCAACTAGAGTCCTTCCATTTAATTTGATCATTGGATACTGGAGAAGATGTTTCTTTCTTTTGAATTATGAGCTCTAAGAACATTAGCTTGGCAATACAATTTATTCATTCAACAAGTATGTATTGAGGACCAAAATATTGAATCAGAGTTGAGAGGATCCAGTCATAAGATATATACCTCTCTGGATATATTAAACAGAGTGAATTTAATATAGAAAAGTGACTCTATAATGTTGGAAGGGCCCAGGAGGTAAAAAAGGGAATTTGAGCTAATCCAGAGCTTAATGACACAGAAAGAAGCTACCACCCCTAAGAGTGGAACAACAGCAAGATAGATGTGGTGTGAGCGGAGTCCAGAACCTGGGAGGACGGGAGGCTGGGCTGGTGCTTTGAGCCATAAGATTTCCCAAAGGTGGCCAGAACTGAGATCACGATGGGGCTACACTGCAGGCTGGTGCCAGAACCATGTTCAGGCTCCGAGGAAGAAGCTTCACATGCAGGTGCTGGAAGTGCCAAAAATTCCCTATTGCACTCTGTGCCTGCTGGGGAGACACTAACGCAAGTCCAGAGCAGGAAAAGAGCCTCCCCTGTCTCCTCTTTCTGCCAAACTTCCACCGTTGCCTAATTGATAGAGACGATCTGAAAACCTCTTGGCAAGAAAGTCTGGAAAATGCGGTTACGGCGTCCAAGCCTCCCTAAGATACATAGCAGAACAAAGCAGAGCGGACATGGAGTCTGAGAGCAACCAGGCAAAGCACCAGCCAAAGTGTACTACAAAGTAGTGCTATGTGCTAGGTCTTGTTCTAGGGACTCGGGTTACAGCAGTAAGCACAACAGAAAACACCCCGCTCTCCAGGAACTTACTTCTAGAGGGGGAGGGTAGACAATACAAAAGCAAGCCAAAAGCAAACAAAGTAGTACAGCAGGACCCAAAACATCAGTTGGTCTTAGCACATTTCCTTAGAAGCGGAGTATGAGATGAGGATTCTGGTGCCATAAAAGTGATTCAGTAAGGGCACGCTCTCAGGAACACCTGTTAAGGCGAGAGGACGTGATGCTTAATTTTATGTGTCACCTTGGCTAGACTGTGGTAAGCAGTTGTTTGGTCAAACACTAGTCTAGATTTTGCTCTAAAGGTATATGTTTAGATGGGATTAACATTTATAATCAGTTGACTTTAAGTGAAGGAGATGATCCTATATAGTATGGGTGGGCCTCGTCCAATCAGTTGAGGGCCTTAAGAGCAAAGATTGAGTTTTTCTGAAGAAGGAACTCTGCCTCCAGACTTAAATATAGAAATTCTAACCCTCAGACACAAGACTGCAACCTCAACTCACCTAAATCTCCATCCTGCTGACTTGCCTTACAGATTTCAGAGTGCCAGCCAGCCCTAACAATTGTGAGCCAATTCCTTAAGATATTTCTCTCCCTCCTTCTCTCTCTCTCTCTCTCTCTCTCTCTCTCTCTCAGTTTTGTTTCTCTGAGGAATTTTGACTAATGTGGCAAGGGAGAGGAGGAGAAACAGAACAAGGATGTGGTCTCAGCCGGATGTCATGGGGAGCTCTGGGGCGTACATTGCACCACAGACTTTGCCGTGCCTGAGACAAAGGAGCTGGGCTTTGTACACATGCATCAGTCGGTTCCCAGGCAACCCTTCAGAGAAGGTTGTGGGTGCAAGTTATACACATACTTCAACGCTTGGGAATGTCTTATATCTATTTGTTAAGGTCATGTTATTTTATTTCCAGAGGGTAACAGAGACTCCTGGGAGGAATAATTATTTCTTCATTGTCCATTGACAAACTAAAAGGGATTCCTTTAATTAGGAAACTATCTTTGCGTTTTGTGGGACATAGGACTTGGTTAAGGACTGAGATGATCTGGTTTCAGGTTCCAGCTTGGGTAACGCACTGGGTGATTTTTTTTTAAATATTTTACTTATTCATGAGAGACACAGAGAGAGATGCAGAGACACAGGCAGAGGGAGAAGCAGGCTCCCTGCAGGGATACCGATGCAGGACTCAGGATCATGACCTGAGCCAAAGGCAGACGCTCAACCACTGAGCCACCCAGGGGTCCCCTCACTGTGTGGTCTTAAAAAAAAAGTGGGGCATCTGGGTGGCTCAGTCGGTTAAGCATCTGTCTGTGGCTCTGGTTGTGATTTCAGTGTCCTGAAATTGAGATAGAGCCCTACATCGGGCTCCCTGCTCAGCAGGGCGTCTGCTTCTCCCTCTCCCTGTGCCCCTCCTCACCTAGTGTGCCCTTGCTCGCTCGCTCTCTCAGAAAAATAAATACAATCTTAAAGGGAAAAAAAGGTGCTTGTCTTCTTTGAACTTTACCTCCTATAGATATATAGGATATATGGCATATATATATATATGCCAGAGAGCTAGCCAAGACAGTTAAAAGCTCTACTCAACCCTGTTTCGCCACTTATACCCTCCCTATCACTACTGTTTGCCACTACCAGGGAAATAGCACTTCTGGAAGCTTCCCTGATCTCTCCAGGAGGGCAGCCCAAGTGGGGTTCCTTTAGGGTTTCTGAATATAAAGACAGCTCTGGTTGGAGGTATGTTGGGCCAGAGAAGATTTGGCTTAACTAAAAGGCTACTGAAGCTGCTCGTTCCCAGGGCTTCTGGTGCCCTAACATAATTTCCCCAAGGTAACTGCAGGCCCCTAATGAACCAGAGCAGCACACTCAAAGCGGTATTTTTTTTTCCCTACGCCATCAAATATAAAGCGGCCAGTTTCTTCATCGTACCCAGCAAACGCCTGTACAGATTAACCCGATTCCGGAGAGGTGTGAGGAAGGCTGGAGCCGAGGCCCACCTTGGCTTTCACGGGACAAGCAGAGTTTGTGCCCTGGGCCGCCCATGGTCGCTAGGGAGGGGCATAGGCTTAGGAGCACAGTTTCTACCACACAGTAACTCACTGTAGCCCACTCAACTTGGGCTCTCCAAGCCTCAGGCCCCTCATCTGTGAAATGGGGTACAAGGGGCTGGATTAAATACGTTCAGCGCAGGAGAGCACCCAGAACTACTGGCCGGCCACCAGGCCACCAGGATGTCCGGTCTGGTGGAAAATCTTCCCTGAGGCTCTTTTGACAACGATTTTCCCAATGGCTCTTCTGTGTCTTCTGGCAGCAGGTGTTTTCTCCTGAGCGCAGCATGTGCAGAATATTTAATTAAAAAAAAAAAGTGGCACAGTGACTCACATTTTAATATTTGCATTGCGATTATCTATGACAGCCGTCTTCTGAATCCTCAGATATTAACATTCCGAACCTCTCCCGAGTCCGATTTCATAACCTCCCCAACACACATCCATCATGAAGATGATTTCATTATTAAAAATTCCATTTCTCACAATGGATTTTTTTTTTTTCCTAATGCGGGCTCCACGGGCAAGGCGCCGAGATGACATGATTGACTGCTTCCACTTTGCAGGCCTTGGATACCAGCTCCGCCTGGTATGAATGTTGTGGCAGGTTGAACTTCTGCTTCTTGACCAGCTTCTTCCCACAGGAGGAAAAACTGCAGCACCTAATACCTTCAAAACAAACCAACCAAAGCACGCCCAGAAGGTCGAGGCACGCCTTTCCCTTAACACAGAGCTCACATTTGTTCTGGATGCTCTTCTACTGTCCATGGCCCCTTGAATAAAATCTCAGAAAAATAACTGCTCTGGTAGGAAATGGAGCGGACTGATTACTTTTTAATTAGCATCCTTGTAGAGTAAACATCCTTGTGCCGGAAGCATCTACGTGGTCCTAATGGGCATTAGATTTTGCCTTGAACATATTTACTCGTAATGGAGGTCTTCCTTCCTGGCAATGAAATAAATATGGAAATACATGTTATTTATTATATAATACATGTACATGTGTACTTTCTAGAGCTCAGAAGGACTTTGAAGAGAGGGAAAATTAGTATCTACTCCGTATATTAGTTTCCTGGGGCTGCCATAACAAATCACCACAAACTTGGCAGCTTCAAACAACAGAAATGTATTCTCCACCAGTCCTAAAGGCCAGAGATTCGAAATCAGTGTCACTGGGTCAAAATCAAGGTGTTGGCAGGGCTACACGCCCTCCAGAGCCTCTAGAGAAGAATCCATGCCTTGTTGCCTCCAACCCCTGGTGGCTGTCAGTGTTCCTTGACTTGTGGACACATCTCCAAATCTCTTGAAGCTCTTTCACATCACCTTCTCCTCTGTGTGCAAAATCTCTCTTTGCCTCCCTTTTAGAATAAGTGCACACGTGATTGCATCTAGGGCCCACTTGGATGATCCAGAATAATCTCCCCACCTTGAAATCCTTAAAGTAATCACACCCGCAAAGACCATCCCCCCATTATTGTTCTGCCATATAAGGTAACATTCACAGATTCTAGGGATTAGGACATGGATATCTTTTGGGGGGGCCATTTGCAGCCTACCAACTGAGCATTTGCTCTGCGCTATTTTCTACCTGTGTCTCTATACCTGCATGCATCTCCTTCCACAAGGGGAACATGCAGCAGGGAAAGAATCTGGGACTGCAAGTCAGGAAATCTGAGTTTGTTAGGTGTTTGTTTGGGTTTTTTTTTTGTTTGTTTGTTTGTTTTGTTCTTGTTTTTTAGATAGGGAGAGAAAAAGGGAGGGGGAGGGGCCGAGGGAGAGGGATAGAATCCCTGCGGCCTGGAGCCTGATGCGAGGCTCAATCTCATGACCCTGAGATCATGACCTGAGCTGAAATCAAGAGTCAGACCCTTAACTGACAGAGCCACCATGTGTCCTGGGAAAACAGGTTCTTTAACGCACCAGCACGAGTGCCATCACGTTCCTCTTCGGTCCCCAGGGCAGACGTTGCTAACTGATCACAGCACTGGTTTTTGCCAAACCCCTGAACTTGACCTCAGAGCCCTCAATGCAATGTTGCAGAAAGTCAAAGTGAATTGAAAGCTATTTGTCACCCCTACCTTGAACCCTCAGTCTTCTCGTGTGTAAAATGGGAGTACTTTTCTGCACATCTACTTTCTAAGGACAGCCTAAGGATCAAATGACATAATGGGTGGGAAAGCACTTATAAATGCTTAAAGTAAGTGACTAAAAGAGATCTGTCCCCAACAGGAACTCATGGGGAGAGTGTCAAAGCAGCCTTGCCTAGAAAGGTAGAGGGCTCTCAGTGCAAGGAGATTACGATGGTCAGGTTCAAGAGTAGTGAGGATAGATGATCATTCTTCTTTTTCATCCAATAAAATAGCATAAGCAAACACAGCCTATGCATTCAGTAAGGATAGCTTTAAAATAACATCACCAAGCACATAAATCTTACACTAGTGTCTCCTTGGCTCACAATAGCCGTCTGGTATGTGTCAGCCTAAAGTCAGGGCTATATACTTACTAGGCATCCAGCACCACCAACTCTTTTCAAATTATATCAACCCTTCCAGGGTTGTACCCTTCCAGAAAGTTTTCCCTGATATATGGCAGAAGGGGCTCTCTCCCAACTCCACATACATTTTTGTCATTTTGCATATGCATTTTAGGGTCCCCTTAGATGGAGAAAGGGACAATTCATTCTTGTCTGCATAGATGTTTCATGGGCTCTTGCCAAAAAGCTTTTAAGTGAAGACCCTAAATCCCCAACCAGAACATCAAAGTGTCTCTTCTTCCTTTCCACTTTTGGAGTCAGAAAACTACCTCTAAACATTTTGGTCACCGCTTCGGATGCCAGGTCTAGTTGGCCTGCCTTCCCTGGGATCTGGCTGTAGGCTTTATTCTGCTTACAGCCCAGCCACATGATCTTGACAAGGTCTGAGACTCAGCTTGCTCTTCTATAAAATGAGAAAAGTGTGGAACACTGCCCTCCCTGCCTCTCAGGGTTGACTAAGAAGACAGGCTTTGTTGCATACAGACTGGTTCAAATCCCAGCTCATTTACATTTACATCCCAGGTGGGAACTTGGGAAAGTTGCTAAACCTCGATGAGCCAGTTTTTTTCACCTATAAAATGGGAATGCCTACCTTCTAGGACTATTAGTGAGAATAATACCTGTTTAATGCCTAGCAGTACTTGACATCTAATAAGTGTTCAACGCATGTTAGCAAGGGTTGTTATTTTAAAGAAACTGCTTCAGTTGGAAGATAGGTGTTGTCAAAGTAGAGATACAGTTAGGCAGAAGAGAGGCATCTGGGGCTAGGCAGGAGCAGGCAGGTCTAGGAAGGGGGATCTCTAGTCTGAAGTTCAAGATCAGGCAGGTTGTGTTGAAGTAATTGTAATGGTAACAATCGACACCCATGATGGAATTGTCCTAGGCATTGGCAACTCTCTTCCCATTCCCCTTACCCTCCACTCAAGATTCCAGGTGTTTCTGGGACCCAGCCTGATAGGAATTGAGAATATGTGAAACATGGTCATCAAGTACAAGGTGAAGATCCCAACTGGATCTTGTAAGCAAGGACTTGTTCTTAGGAGCTAAACAGGACCCCGTTTATATTTGTGGAAGTCCAGCACTAAGGCAGCAATCCCCTGGTGAAAGTGAGGCCACAGCATGTCTACCTGGATGTTTCCTAGAGGTAAGTGTTCTAACAGAAGACGGTGCTATTTTACAGATGAAGAAATCAAGACTCAGAGACGTTAAATGACTTGCCTAAAGGTCACACAACCCTTAAGTGGCAGAGCCATGCATCGTCTCCAGGTCTTTTGAGGTCTCACCCTTGGCTTTCTCTGCTACGTGATGCTATCCTGTGATTCCAGGAGAGAAATGGGTAGACACACTTCACTTTCTCCCCTTTCTGAGCATTTTCTGTCTCTACTGGATTTACTGCTTTGATATCATTGGTCAGTAGTATGTCTGCGGGGGAGCCTCATCTCACCCTGCAAATCTTTTCCTCCTGAGAGTCCTTACAACTTACCTGGAACCTGAACCTGAGAGAGGAGGGGAGCAGTTTGGGGGCTGATTGAAAAATTGAGAGTTACATTGCTGGAGATGTATAAATTGGTATGTGTTTTCTTGTTGGTAGCAATATGTACCAAAATCTTAATAATATGGATATGCTTTTGATTCAGCAATTCCACTACTAGAAATTTATCCTGAGGAAATAATCCAACAAGTATATAAAAACACAAACAAGTGCAAAAAAAAAAAAAAAAGGAAAGAAAAGAAAAAGAAAGCAAGGTCTAAAAGGTCCTAGTAAGGGATTAGGCAAAGGTAGCATATCTGTACAATGAAATACTATGTAATCATTCAAAGGGATAATGTTGGATTATATTTATTGTTACGTAAATAAACAATATGACCAACCAAAAAATAAGCCATTTGGGTAGTGTGATCTTATCTTTTGTAAATAAATTATATTCGTGTGTGTATATACATTGTGATCTCTCCTGATTGGCATTCAACCACTTAGCTGACTCCCCACTTGAGTCAACCCTTCCCTTCCACCTGAAAACCCCTAGGACTGATGCCCAGATTGACTGAAGGTTCTGGATGGAAGGCTGTGCCTTTTTATTCCCCACCTGTGCTCCCACTAGACAGCTCACATCATCAGCAAGTACCAGTTTTATGGTTCTCTAGCTTCTTTATTTCAATGTCCTTGTTACTAGAATTTCATAGTTAAATATTATGTAAACTGAAAAAAATGAGTGAAACAGAAAAAAAGATCCTTTAAAAAACTGAATGGAATGCTTTGAAGAATTCAACCGCTCTTGTAGTAATGTAGTTACAACGGATTGGCAGGGTGGAGTGGGGGGGGGGGTCAGAAAAATTCAAGATTCTGCTCTCAGAATGCTTTCTTCTTCAAAGAGGCCAAAACAGGA